TCATACTGAGTGACTCCAGTGTCTCCATTGAGGGCTTACACTGGATCTCGTTGCAGGCCACTTGTTGCTAGAAGAAGTCCAAATCGGCATTTCAGGGTGGTCTGATGAGCACGTCGAGCACGGAAACAGCTTCGATTGCCTCGGTCTGACCAAGGTGAAGGACCGAATGGACGAGCCACTTGGCATCAAAGCAAGGCACCCTTTTGATCAAAGGTGGAAGTTCTTTGGGAATGATCCGACTTATGAAGCATGGTCTCTGGCTCAATCAAGAACGACTGGGTTGGGTTGTGCTTCCACCCTATTTGGGCATGTGTATCAAAAAGAAATTAATTACTGAATCAAAAAAATATTATTTACGTAATCAACAACAAATTAATTAACTAATCAAAAAATACTTATTTTCCTTTCCCGTCTCTTGTATGCTTGCTCCTGGTCCACATGGTCGTCCTGGTCCCCTTGGTCCCCTGGTCCCCTTGGTCCCCTGGTCCCCTTGGTCCCCTGGTCCCCTTGGTCCTCTGGTCCCCTTGGTCCCCCGGTCCCCTTGGTCCCTGGTCACCTCGTCGAAGGGAAGGGAAGGGAAGGAAGAAAAGAAGGGATCCAGGTAGGAGGCCGGCTGTACACGCGAAAAGTGACTCATCTGTACACGCGAATGATATACCTCGTCTGTACACGGGGATGCGCTGCTTCAAACTCACTCTCGCTCTCACTCTCACTCACTCACTCACTCACTCTCACTCACTCACTCTCACTCACTCACTCTCACTCACTCTCACTCACTTTCACTCACTCTCACTCACTCACTCACTCACCCTTTTGTCCTTTTGTGGGCAGTGTGAAATTTCGAGAAGGAAGTGGCTATGCCAAGTTCACTCACCCTTTTGTGGGCCATGCAGGGGTAAAATTTAGAGAAGGATGTTGCCATTTCAACTTGACTCACCCTTTTGTGGGCAGGGTGAAATTTCGAGAAGGAAGTGGCTATGCCAAGTTCACTCACCCTTTTGTGGGCCATGCAGGGGTAAAATTTAGAGAAGGATGTTGCCATTTCAACTTGACTCACCCTTTTGTGGGCAGGGTGAAATTTAGAGAAGGAAGTGGTCACCCCAACTTGACTCACCCTTTTGTGGGCAACGCAGGGCTAAAATTTCGAGAGGGAAGTGGCTATGCCAAGTTCACTCACCCTTTTGTGGGCCATGCAGGGGTAAAATTTAGAGAAGGATG